TAACTGAAACAAAGAGTCAATTTTAATAATTTTCCAATTCTGTAATGGACTGAAAAAAAGAGGAAGCGAAAAATTGGCTTACAAGAGCAGCAAAGCCGATAGGTAGTTGCGTTCTTAAATTGGGGATAATTAGCTTCGCTTTGGTCCGACGCATTTATACATAGACCACCGCTTGAGAAAAACTTCTCATGAAAGACATTTGGCTCTTCTAAGTCAGTTACCTATCACTACAGCTATGATCCCCGCTACACTGCTCCGATTTACTAGTCACAATAGCGAAAGCTTTTTGACTTGTATCAGCCATTTTCTGTGATGCTATAGCCTCTTTGCTGCAATCATCTGAAACATAAAGTTTAGAATTATTGTGGAGAGTTGCGATCAAATGTTGATGTGATAACAATAAGTTCAACCAGGGTGACTGTCAGCTACACAACTATGGACTATAAGAAATCGATAAAGTGTTTCAAAATGATTATGAAAGAAACATTTTACACTAGGTATCAGCGTTCAATTACTAAAAGTGTGCTAAAAGCTTCATAGAAACATGTTCTTAAGCTTTAACAATACCCAATAATTTCTATTATCATTTACAACTTTTACATTCTATAAAAATAGAAGTACACTTCAAACACTTCAGGAACACTTACATTGGCAGCAAATACCCAAATTTGTTATTACGTCCGGCTTCGCATTTGCATGCGTATCTGTATCGCAAAATTCGTTAGGCCCACATTCGCTAAGACTTTCGCAGAATTTGAGTCCTAAAGACTCGTCGTTCCTAACTGCTCTGCCTGCACATTTTGGAGCTGAATGTGGTTTTATCAAAATCAACTCAACTTGAGAGATTTATTTCTTAACACCTACAAGGAAAGCACATCTTCGGGTGATATCCCACGTTATCCGACAGATCGTTCTTTTCATCTCTTGGTACGACTTCATCACAAAATTCATCTCGACCACAATCACTGTTTTTAGTGCACGATTTTGAGAAATCTTCTCCAAAATCATCTAGTGCATTCGCAATGTCTTGTAGCTTCGCAGTTTTTTCAATGAATCGGAGCACGTTTGTTGGAAGAAGATATCTGTCATCCTTACGGAACGTTTTTGAATACGGTACAGCTGAAAAGCAATGATAATGCGAAACCTTCTTATCATTTCAGTGC